TTGGGGATTAAAAGGAGACGTCAAAAAAAACTTGGGGAAGGCCTGGACAAACTAAAGCGGGTATGACATTAAGCAAGATGAGGGACATGTTTTATCGTAGGAATAGCTGCCAATTGAAGGTGGTAACATGGGAGAGGAGAAAAAGAAGGCGGTGTTGGCGCAAAAGCCTTATAAGTTGGAAGTTTTATGAGGAATATGAGAGAAGGGAAGAGGTGGAGAAGGAGGAGGAGGACACTGCAAATTTATGTGCAAATATAGAGGCGAATAGAGAGGCATCACACCTTTGGGTTGTCAGGTTGATAATGGAAAGACCACAAAGATTGATGAGCATACAACTAGATTTGTAGGAGTATACCTAGAGGTAAGGTTTATGCTTCTAGAGGTCTTAGGCAAGGCCCCTTGCCTCTGTTGCTCTTTAATTTAGTGGTTGACAGTTTCAGCAGGTTGGTCTCAACTAGAGTGGATAAAGGGTGCTATCGAGAGTTTTTAAGGTAGGAAGGGATAGAACACATCTTTCTCATCTCCAATTTCCGGATGTCGCTCTCCTTTTGCTTCAATCAAGAAAGGTCATTTGTTAATCTTAATAGTCTTCTATCCTTCTTCGAGGCTATTTCGAGCCTTAAGATTAATAGAGGAAAAAGTTTGGTCTTGAGGATTAATTGCGACTACACGAAGATAGATGATTGGGCTTATTTGATGGGTTTTGAGGTGAGTAGTCTTCCATTCTCTTACCTTGGGCTCCCTTGGGAAGCAATTCAAGGATATTGTCATTTGAAACCCTATCTTAGAAAAGGGTCAAAAGCGTCTTTCTTCTTGGAAAAAGACTCGAGGGAAAGATTAATGCTCATACAGTCGTAAGTGGAATCCAACCTATTTCTTGTCCTTATTTAGAATTCCTATTTTGGTGAGTAAAAGTCTTTAGAAAATCATGAGGGATTTCTTATGTAAGGAGTTGATTGGGGGGTTCCATTTGATTTGGTGGGACACTGTTTCACGTCCTTTGGATCTAGGGCTTGGGCATTAGCAAGCTAAGGCTGTGTAATGAGGTCTTGTTGGCCAAATGACTGTGGCATTTCTTTAAGGAACTGGACACTTTATAACATAGGATTATTATGAATAAATACAGTTTGCACCCTTTGTATGGGTTAAGGCTTTTCTAAAAACACCTGGAATACCATTTCTTCAGGTTTCTCCTTAATTTGTAAAATGCTCTTTTGGGAAGGTTTAAATATTTATCTGGGGAGGATTGATGGGTGGGAGACAAGCCTCTTTGTGCTTTGTTCCTTTGGTTATATCATCTTTCTGATTGGAGGTTACATTCGGTGGCCTTTGTTATGCCTTTCTTGGGTTCTAACTATTCTCTTTACTTAGACTTCCACTGTCCTTTATCAAATAGAGAGATGTTGGATGTCTACCCTTATTTCTCTTCTAAGCAATGTTCAAACAGGTTTGGGAAGGAGGGATGCTTGTTTTTGGTCCCCGATCCTTCGATAGGCTCTTCTTGTAGCTCTTTGTTCGAGATTTTATGCGCCCTTTTGCCCTATCCTGGTGCCCCTTCTTTTTCTTCTCTTTGGAAGGTTAAAATTCTAAAAAAAGTCGAATTCTTTGTGTGGCAGGTTTTACATAGGAGAGTTAACACCTTAAGCCTCATTAATTTACCAAGAATTAAAACGATTTAGAATCAAACATAAAAAAATCAATCAGAATGAGAATGTTATTTTTTTGATGTTGTTTACCATAAATTTTCTAGAGTCGAAATAGGAATTAGATATATAAAAATTACTAGAATACCACTTTCTTATTTCTAGCTAATTACAAATACAATATCTAAAAACTGTGCCAATATTTTTTTAGTTAAAAAATAATATATTTTATTTTATTTTATTGATAAAAAATATTTTTTATGATAAAATTGATTTAATATTAACAAATAATAAATAAATAAAGTAAAATAACATCAACTAAGAAAACATTAATATAATTTTTATTAGAACAACAATCTTTAATATAAGATATTATTAAATTTATTGTTATAATATTTAAGAATAAGTAATTCTATTGATTTTGATTAATAATAACAAAGTAAAATTATGTATGAATTTGTAAATATTTTACAATAAAATCACATCAATTAAGAAAAAATGAAATATTATTAGTAGTATTAATAAGCAACCTATTGCGCTTCCAAATATTCTGCGGGATCTTCACTACTAATACTAACCTTGAAATCTTCTTCATCATTAGGCAAAACGTTATCCTTGAAATRTAAATTTGACTGCTCACTTGTTGAACCCTTTTGTTTTGGCTTTTGGGATCTTGTGGGTTCCGAATAAGGATGGTTGTTCTTGGTTAGAGTAGGTTCTCTATTTTCTTCCCTTTCGTGACAAGGGCATAGTTCTTTGGGAAACTTTTTTTTTTCCTCGCTTTTTTATGGGCTATATGGCTTGAGAGGAATGGTAGAATTTTTAGAGAGATGGAGAGGTATTAGGAAGAGGTTTGGGAGGTGTTAGGTTTAGTACCTCTTTAT